ACAAACTACAGGAAACCACTGAAGGGCCATGCTGGCTCAACAGACACAAATGGCCATAAAGAAAATTTAGGACAGGACACACAATCTCCCCAGCACCATGGATTCCAGGATTATCTACACTCCGTGCTGACTGTCCTGGGACCTTTGACCCCAAACACTCCACCCAGATTCCTTGGAATTCTAACTGCACTCAAACCCTATAAAAACTTAACCTGGGCCAGCTGCTGACATCATTCACAATCTCAGGCTATCTGCAGCCAGACAGAAAAAAAAAAAAAAAAATCTAACCTTTCACTCACATGAAGCCTATTTTCCAGGTGGTTTCTCATGCGCTGTTGATAACAGTAACCATATTGGACAGGCAGGAGTGTTTCCATCATCACAGAAAGTTCTCTAGGCTAGGGCGGACTCCAGATCTTCTTCATAGAGGTCTGTCCCATCTCTGTCCTCTAGGAGGACCCTGTTTCCCCTCAAGAGTTCAAGGCCTCAGGATGCCACATCGTATGCCCATCTCCCTTTGTACAAGTAGAGCCAACCTGGAATTCCCTGTGTCCACTCAGCACCCTGCCTTCTCCCTAAGAACCTGCAAGCCTAGCGCTCTCCGTCGTAGGCTTACCAAGGCAAGAACATCCTTTCTCCATCCTGCAGGATGTAACACCTCTAAAAGGTGAAGAGAAGTGAAGCTTTTTCTCCCTCTTCTTAATCTGCTGTCCTGAAGAACTCTTGGGGGGGGCCGGGGAGATGGCTCAGTGGAATAAGCGCTTCCCTGGCAAGCACAAGGACCTGAGTTCAATCCCTGGTTCCACAAAAAAAAAGAACTCTTGGGGAAGTGACCCAGTGACCCAGTTCACTCTCTTAAGTTGCCTTTTTCTGGTTCACAGGCTGAAGCACTCACTTCTGCTCTTCCACCCATGGAATTAGAGGATCTAAGGCCTGCAGCTAGAAAGGGCTGCAGAAAGCCCTGGTCTGGCCTCCTCAGGGTGCATACCAGGGAGCAGGCCCCAAGCAGGAAGGACCTGAAGCCAGCTGGGACTCAGACTCAGGTCAGTGCAACTCTAAAGTTCCACTGTCACTGTGCATGGAGGAGATCCTGGGCCAACTCAGCTAGAGCAGAGGGCAATGGGAGAAGCAGGCAGACAGAAGACAGGAACAGGGCACACAGGATGTTATGCTTTTTTTTTTTTTTGCAAAACCAAGGATTGAACTCAGGCCCTTGCCCTTGCCAGGCAAGTGCTTATTCTACTGAGCTATCTCCCCAGACCCCAGGATGTTATCCTGTTTGGAGCTCAGGGGCATTGCTTGGGCATGGACTATGGATCTAAAAATTCTACTCTAAGAAGTTCTTGCTTATAAGAAGAGCTTGTTAAGATCTTCATAAGGATTTTTATTCAAGACATGTGTCATCTGGATGAAAGGGTTTCACTTTCAAACCTAAGCAAGTGGACCATCTACAGAGAGTGCTTTAGGTTTCAGATTTCAGCCTTTGGAAACAGTAGTTCCCATTTTTTGAGGCGGAGCTCGCCCTCTAGTGGAAAGCACTGAATTTTGAGAAATACAGCAAATGGCTCACCCTCTGAAGACGGCCATTATTTGAGATTCTGCTTATTGTATCTTCTAGGAAACTTGGTTTTTGTTTGTTTTTGTTATTGTTGTTCTCAATCAGTTATTTCAACTGTGGTGAAGTAGATTCACAGGTTTACCGTTGAGTTTTGAGTACGGTGAGAACAATAATTGGATGTGTGCAGCACCAAGAGAAACCCTGCCATGGAACCCACTTTCATGCCGAGGTCCCTTCTGGGTGTGACCCACAGGCCTCCTGCAGCAGGTCCCCACAGGAAGCCTGCTGCAGTGTGTAATACTATGTTTCCCAGACTACAAGCTCAGCCTCTTTGGGACTGGTCTGGGATCTGCATTTGAATGAACTCCAGGTTGATTGAGACACATTCAGTCCAGGAGCCCTGGCCCTCACAGAGCCTTCTTTCAGCTGTGTGGACATCACCTTGTATACATTTACTTCCTTCTCTTCTCCCTGCAAGGACACTGCTCACTTCCAGGCTCACTTCCACGCCACCTCCTCAGAGCAACCACCCTGACCCCTTCCTATAGCCCTCATCAGAATCTGGGGAGATGGGGCCAGTCTTACCGCCCAGCCTGACAGACTTTTTTATTTATTTATTTATTTTTTGGTACCAGGGATTGAACTCAGGCCCTTGCACTTGCCAGGCAAGTGCTTATTCTGCTGAGCTATCTCCCTGGCCCCCGACAGTCTCTTGATTCAAGCTTCAGTTGAGCAGATGGCAGGTGAGAGGTTAAGTCAGCATCCCTATTAAACACCCCAAACCATCCTACTCCTATTCAGTGGACCTTGTGGGGGTTGGAAACCAACAGGCTTATGGCCAGGACGCTGAAAAAAGTTTTGTATAAACACAGACCTTACTCTCCCCGGGGCAGACATAGAAAATAGCCCTGGCCCCAGAATTTGAGAGGGTGTGTGTGTGTGTGTGTGTGTGTGTGTGTGTGTCCAGTGCCTAACTGGTCAGAGGTGCCTAGTGAGCATTTTCCAACCAGAATTGTTAGCCCAGCTTGCACGCCTGTTTCCCCTCCTTACAATGAGGAGATGAAATCGATGTCATTGGCCCCCCTGCCTGTCACCCCACATCTTGCTGCCACAGTTTTTTCTCACTGTTGGGTCAGAAGAGAAGGAGTATGACCTGATTCTCCAGGCCATTCCTTTATCTTTTTTTTAAAATTTTTTTGAGATAAGATCTTGTACATAACCTAGGCTGATCTGACACTCATAAGGTAGCTGAGACTGCCTTTGAACTTGTGGTTATACTCTGGCCTCAGCCTCCTGAGTGCTAGGATTATAGGCATGGGCCACCACACCCAGCTTCCCTAGCCCTTTTGGAGTTGTTTTCCTCCTACTTGTCTCTTGGGTCCCTCACTTTTTTTTTTTTTCAGTACTGGGGATTGAACTCAGGACCCTGCACTTGCCAGGCAAGCGATTGTTCTACTGAGCTATCTCTCTGGGCCCAAGGGCGCCTCACTTTTACTGTTAGCCATGGGGACACATGTCAGCATTGCATTTGCGTGTTTTTCCCATACTTGGGAACTCCTAGAGCACATGCCAACTAACTGCTCCACTGGACAGAAACTTTCTTTCTTGGGGGGCAGCAGGAATCAAACTCAGGACCTTGTCCTTGCCAGGCAGGCATGTGCCACTGAATTATGTCCCCAGCCACCACTTCACTTGAGAGCTGAGAAATCAATCACAGTTCAGCAGTGCTTCCAGATGGTCTCTCCTCTTTTGGACATTTGCCTATGTGCTTCCCAGAGGTTTTAGTACTTGGTTATCCCCCTTACCCTGGTAGCACGCAATGAGGCGATATTTCCGCAAGTCACACTCCCAGACATCTGCACAGGTCTGGTCTAACAAGATGCTGTCCCATGCAGCCTTAGGGGGAGGTAGAGGGGCAAGTTTATGCCTTTTTGTAGGCAAGGAAGTGAGGTTCACAGAGGCTAAGTGACAAGTGAATTTTCTCATGTTGCACAGTTAGTTTGAAGATGAAGCAAACAAATCATCCCTTTCTTCCATTATGTCCCCAGTACAGGTATCATCTCATTTAACTCTTGAGGGAGAATCAAATGAGCACCAGGGAAGTATGCACTGGAGCAGGAGGCTACTTGGTGCGAGCTGGGGTAGCAAATGGTGGCACCAGAGCCAGAGTGAGCTGCAGTCGTGAAGAGGCACAGCCTCTGCAGGAAAAGGCCTTCATGTGCAGAGGGTAAGAGTTTCCTTACTTCACTTGTTTGCATCCCAGCTCCCATTGCCACTTCTCCCTGGCTGGACCAGGCCAGGAGCAGCCCTTAAATCATACTGCTGCAGTAGAGGAGGGTGGGAACCAGGAGGGGGCTAGGAAGAGGAGGAGGTGGGAACCAAGGAGGGATGGGAACCAGGAGGAGAGTGGGAACCAAGAGGAGATGGGAATCAGAGGAGGTGGGAACCAGGAGGAGGGTGGGAACCAGGAGGAGGTGGGAACCAGGAGGAGGTTGGAAACCAGGAGGAGGGTGGGAACCAGAGGAGGTGGGAACCAGGAGGAGGGTGGGAACCAGGAGGAGGGTGGGAACCAGAGGAGGTGGGAACAAGGAGGAGGGTGGGAACCAGGAAGAGGGTTTGAACCAGGAGGAGGTGGGGACCAGAGGAGGTGGGAACCAGGAGGGGTGTGGGAACCAGGAGTAGTATGGGAACAGGAGGAGGGAGTGCACCTTTGAATAGGCTCCCCGCAAGTCCCTTTGCCCCAATTCTTCCAGTGGGGCAGCCTCCCACCTTCCCATCTGCCCACCAGCCCTTCTCCTTCTCAGGCTGCTCTGCCTAGGACATGGGGTTTCTCTGCTAGGAAGGAGACTCCTTCATTTTAGTCTTGTGAGGCCCCGAGCATAGGACCCAGTGAAATAATGAATATGTATTGTTTTAGGTAATGACAGTGGTATTTTGTGACAGGGCAATAGAAATCTAACACACTGAGTGGGAAGAAAGACTCTTTAATGCCCTTTTCCAGACCATACAATCCCATCCCAAAAGGTGGGATGATAGATAAAATAAATTGTTTGTGCCTTATAGTTGGTTCCTTCCCTCCTTAGCTCTTGTTCCAGCTGAGCCACAGCTGCCAGAGGCAGCGGCCAGGTGTGTTGTTCTGTGTAGCAGGCGCAGCTGCAGCATAAGGGAAATACTAAAGCTCCCAGATGGAGTCTGGGGATGTGCAGGTGCCCCCATCCATGACCTCCCGAGAGGCTGGACTCAGGGTACTTTGGGGTCAAGAAGGGCGAGTGGACTCATGACTGTGGTACCTTCCATCCTCAGGTGACACAAATGTGGATCAAATTTCTAATATGACCACTGCTCTCTAGGACAGTAACACTTGCATCCCTCTTTTGATGTCATTTTATTTCCTTTTATTCATATTGGTAGCAGGATGTCCCACAGATTCTTCTGGAAATTGTCAAGATATTGGGAAGATGATATCAAAGCTCACATAGATTGGGGCGCCCACACTTTGAACTTCCAAGACCTAAAGTACAAAATAAAACAAAACAAGTGGGAGCTTTAAATGGAGAACATAAGTTGTCTTGGTCGTTCCCAAACCTGGATATACTTTAGAGTTGCCTAGGAAAAGAATTAAATGAGCTTTAAAATTTTGACATTATTTAAATACAATAAAAAACACAGGGGTCAGGGAGATGGCTCAGAAGAATGAGCGCTTACCTGGTAAGCACAAGGGCATGAGTTCAATCCCCGGTTCCGTGAAAAAAAAAAAAAAAATCAAAAAACACAAACATCAAGGGTATAGCTTGAACATTTTCATGAAAGAAGCAAGCCTGTGTAGGCATCACCTGATGGGGGGAATGCCATTTCTAGACCTCAAAAGCCTCCTTCGTGGTCCTTCGAGATCTATCCCAGCCTCTCCCCTCACGCCACCACGTAAACTGCTATTATGATTTCTAATATCAGAAGAAGTAGCCTGTGAGTGTGCATAAACACAGTAACTTTGGCCCCTCCAGGGGTATCTGCCCTGGGGATCTTTGGGAAGCTCCAGCAGGGGTGTTTCAGGATCCAGGTGACCCGGACCTGCCATCAGGCCTGGGACAGGATCATGGGTGCATGGCACAGTCCCTTTCTTTGCAGGGCACCTGGGGAGGCCCTAGACTCCTTGGACTCACAGCACAGTTTCTCCTGGGTCTCTGGCCATTTCAGGATTGGGCTTCTTAGAAGCCAGGCCTGGTACTGAACGTGCCTGGGTGCTGGTGCTGCCCCTAGGGTCGTTATGTTCAGTCCTCCTTGAAGACCAGAGCAGGGTAGGAAGCCCAGGCTGTGGGAAGTAATGGGCTTCCGATAGGTGCCGATCCAGGTGCTGGTAGCAAATACACCTCCCTTCACACACACACACACACACACACACACACACACACACACACACACAGTTTGGCATTTATAAAATGGAACTGCTGTGTACTTCATCGGATTGTTATAGTTTGGGTTATAGTTATCAATATCCCCAATTTTTCATTCTAGAAAGTTTCTTTTCAGTATATTTTGAAGCCATGATAGTCTTGTTTTGTTTTTGTTTTTGTTTTTTTACCAGGGATTTAACTCAGGACCTTGCAATTTCCAGGCAGGCGCATAAGCCACTGAGCTATCTCCCTGGCCCTGAAGCCCTGATAATCTTGAAGGAACTGTGCGAGCTCCTCTTTGCAATTTTTTTTCTTCATTTTAGGGGTCTACAGGGTGTTCAGGGTCTCACTACGAGATCGGACTCCTAGTGATCCGCCTGTTTACAGCCTCCCAAGAGCTGGGATTACAGGCGCACCACCACGCCCAGTCTCAGTTGCTGTCTCAGTGTGCCCGGGGGTGGGTCTGGCAAGGCAGGTCTGGGGATCAAACCCCCGGCTTCTGCGCCTGTTTGCAGGCCTCTGCAATTTGAAGCCAAGGATTCCCAAAAGGAAGCAAGGAAGGGAAGGAACAAAAATGAAAAACAAAAAAAGAAAAGACAGAGACAATGATAATTGCTCACGTGGCTTTTGCAGTGTGGCTTGGCGAGCCCGAACTTCTGGGTGACCTGGCTGGTGCTGAACTCCTGCCACCTGCCGCTCACCAGGGCCTGGGCTCTGATCTCATACCTCACCAGGCGCTGCGCTCTCAGGCTGACGGTGCTGCGCTCAGAGACTGCAGAGGGCGACTTCATGTCTGTGTGTCTTATTCTCTGCAGAGAGAGTGGTGTCCCCATCCCAAGTGGACCTGCCACCTGGGTGGCAGAGTCAGTGAACCCAACACCAGGAGCAGTCCCTTCTGTCTCGTGTGTACACAGAAAGACAGGTTTTCCCTAAAGCCATCATTTCCTGAGGGTCATTGCTGACGCACTGGCATCTGACACTTAACCATACACAAATCATTGGCCAAAGGATTGGGCTTTGACCAACCCTGACAAACGTCATCAAGGCAAGCCTCACTTTGACTTCTTTT